AAAAAGTCGCAATTACCTTTTTTATTTTTTATTCAGTGGTGGAAACGGGCTTCCATAGGTTCCATATATATATATATATATATATATATAAAAAAAGTTAAAAGTTCAGAATCAATGCCTTGCATTATTGTGCAAGCAATTGCTTAGTAAAATTTGCACCATGGTGCCACCTAGCGTTCAACCAGTGAAAAATCACTACTATCAATGCTTTAACAGCTGTAGTGTGTGCACCTACCTGATCATATTTTGGGAACAAATTTGCAGCCAGAAGTGAGTTAAAATGAGTTAAAGTGAGTTTTTTTTTATTATTATTTTTATAAATGCAGAGTCTCTTCTGTTAGGGTTAGGTTATAGTATGTATAACTAGCTGTATATAAAAACAATAGAAGTCTATGCAAAGTCACTGTTTATATAACTAAAAGTGTGTGTGTGTGTGTGTGTGTGTGTGTGTGTGAGTGAGTGAGTGCGAGTGTGAGTGAGTGAGAGAGACACACCTGAAGGTGAGCTTGGTCTTGAACACAGCCTGACCCTGCAGTCCTGTACCCTGGCGGATGAACAGGTGGTTGTGGTCACCCTGCAGTGGAGCTTTATACACGTCAAACACCTCATTCCCCAGGTGCAGAGACATGCTGCAGAATGAGAGTAATGCTGATTTCCATATCTTTGCATAATTATACCATAAGAACATTACTCAGCACCTGCTGAAATTATTCAGAGAGATTATTCAACACTAAAATCTGAATGCGTATCCTCACCTGCCATCTGACCATTTAACGATTCGTGCGTTGCTGTCCTTGATTTCACTGCCTTCCTCATCGCGCCGAGTGCGCCACCTGATGGTGTTTTCCACCTTCAGCTTTAAACGGGTCCGTCCTTCCTCATCTAACATCTCCTCATCCTCAAACTCATCCTCGTAGTACTGAGGGTCAAACGGCCTGTGGAGAGACAGCAGGAAAGGAGACAGACAGTCGGTTTAGATGGAGCATTTAGCAACTCCTTCAGTTCTCCAGGAGACATTCACACACCTGGGCTCCACACTGAGAAAGTTGGGTAATTTGACGAAGAAGAGCTCACTGCCCAGATCTGTGCTGACTTTAGGAATCTCCACCTCAATCCTCGTCTCTGTAACCGGCTCCTCCTCGGGCTGATCTCCCTCCAGACCGTCCTCAGCATCCTGTTTGTTCAGATCAGTCAGGTGTTAGAAAGCGTTAAAATCGTCATTCTAATTCTTATAAATCTAAATTAGGACTGTTTTGGGAGACAGAAACAGGGATGCAACCTCATCAGGGGTGAAAAAAGGTGACAATGATCACAATGTAATTTTTATTACTATTATTATTATCACTTAATTTTTATATTAAATGAAAAAATAAAGAAATATTTTACTATAGTAATAATGCTATTGTGCTGTAAAATAAAAATAAATAATAATCATTTTACTTTGGAGAACAGTAAAATTACAATATTCATGGCTGTCATCATTTCTTTGCATTCAAACATTAAACCATAGAACTATTAGTTGGCAAGAGTTGCATTTTCAAAGGCGCATTTTAAGTGACCCAAACTAATGAAGAGATAAACTTTGTGTGGAGCAGCATTTACTATAAACCAAGCCCCTCCAGACAATGAAAATGCTGGATCATGAGCTGCTCATGTGTAAATTAAGCTGCGCTTCAAGCACAAAGCTCTTTTGTTTTCTTTTTTTGATTCTCATATCATTGCCTATGACTCCTCGCAGACCCGTAAAATCATTTTGAATAACATTTTGGACTAAAAACAGCAACAGGTTTGCATCCCTAAAGAAGGAGTGTAGAATATAATGCAATACATTTTATAGCGCACTTTTATAAGCAAACCAATCATGGAGAGCATCTTAACATTGGGAGTGAGCAGTATGACAAAAATCTTATGATGGTAGAAGTAATTTTGTTTCACAGTTATGTCATACATAAACACTATAATTACTTGAGCTGGAAAAAAAAGCTTAATTGTAAATTATGTTAAAAAAAAGGCACCCAAAGCATGCGATTTTTCATAAATTTAGAACAAATTTTAGAATTAAAGTTATTGATGAATAGGGATTTGTTTGTAAAAATGTTCATACCCAGATTTCATGTGCAAATTTGTGTGTACACATGGAAACTGAATGAGACCTAATGTCAGATTGTTAAAAAGACAAACTGAACCCCTTTAACACTTTTAAACATCAGACAGATGTCAATACTGGTAAATTAGACCATTCCAATCTACCTCACCTGATTTTTGTCTCTCCCCTTCATCGTCAGAATGATCCCTCTCATCATCTGAGTTCTGCTGTTTGTCCTCGTCCTCTGATTGGTCACTTTTTCCACCCCACTTCTCATCTCCGGAATGGATTTCTTTCCCTGACCCCTCTCTGTCTGAATGAGGTGTGCCGGGATCTGAATGCCCACTTCCTGCTTCTGAGCGTGGGCTGCCCGCCTCTGACCCTGGACTTCCACTTCCTCTGTCAGACCTGTGGCTTCCTGCTCCTGAGGCTGTACTCCCCACATCTGATCTGTGGCCCCTCTCATCGTAACTATAATTACTTGAGCTGGAAAAAAAAGCTTAATTGTAAATTATGTTAAAAAAATGCAAAACAAAAGAAGATTATTCGAAACAATTACAAACAATTATTATAAAATATTAAGCACAAAAGACTTGATAAATCTAATATTATAAGTTGGATATTAGGGCTGTTCGATTAATCAAATGTTATTTTCTGTTCTGATTTTGACCAACAATTATGAAAATAAGAAAATCGAGGTAAAGCAATTATTGTGCCGCATTCAGTGTTGCACACCTTCCTTTCCTTCACAGTGGCACACTTACATTCCTCCCTAAAAGCCCAAACTTAATGTCCAAATCAGCTAAATCTGTGAGTGTCGTCGTAAAAAGCAGTCAATTGCAGGACATTTGATAATAAACAGCTACTAAAAAAAAGCATTAAGTCACGAAAGAGACACGTTCCCCAGGCAGCTTTCTGTGCACACGCTTCTAAATAGAGTGGAACACAAACAAGCAAGTACACAGCCAAATACACACAAAAAATATGCCCGTCCTGGCAAATATTTCTGTGGTTTATGTTTTAAGTGAACAAAAACGGTTAACATTAAATTGGATGTGTATCAGCATATTGGATACATGCATTATGTTAAATAACAGCAGTCTAATATACACCTGCTGCTGTTTGTGGCTTAAAAGTTAATCAAACAAAGACTGAATAACTTTTGTAGCTTTAATAAGGATGAATCTTTATTTAATTTATACAGTGAAGACTAAGCAGTGTTCTTTTTTTTTTCATTTGACTTCTTTAATGTCTGTTGTATAGACTACTGTTTGCCTGAAAAGACCTTTCAGCAAAACATAAAGCATTATTTCACTTGTATCTTTGTTCTATTGTATTGACCTTTTGTTTGTAATTTATTACTTTGCATGCCCACTTCCTGCTTCTGAGCGTGGGCTGCCCGCCTCTGACACTGGACTTCCACTTCCTCTCTCAGACCTGTGACTTCCTGCTCCTGAGGCTGGACTCCCCACATCTGATCTGTGGCCCCTCTCATCGTCATCATCCTCCTCCTCGTGATGGCCCTCTGAACCGCTGTGTTCGTTGTCCGAGTGCATACTCGCATCTGATTGGTTGCCGGATCGTTCTGATTGGCTGCCTAATTGTTTGGGGACTTTGTAAACTTACATTAGTTAGTTAGTCTTTGCTGAAGTATCAAGACTAGTATCAATAATTGTGAAAATTCACTGATATCTTTTTAATTCTTTATTCATATCATGAAATAAGATGTTGTTGATCATATTGCCCACCTCTAATTAAGTAAAATAATCATGACTATGATTTTTACCATAATCAAGCAGCCCTAATAGATATTACTTGTCCTAATGGACAAGTCATCTGTGGCCTGATCAGATTTTTTTCCTGTTTAGATAGCAGTCTCTTTTGCTGGCACGTCCAGATTGGTAGTAATAATAACAAGCTTAACAGTGCAAAAAAAAAAGTTACAGCATTAAAAACTGGAATATGTTAAAATAAAGTCTTCATGTCTCAACACCCAAGGTGCAATAATGAAAATCTGAGTTTAATCATATTTCAAAACAAAATAAAAAAGATGGCTTGGCTCAGCCTTGAAAAAAATGAAAATTCTGAGGTTGTGTGTGCAAATGTCTCACCATTGGTTGCCCAGGTGTGGGAGGTTTCTCTGCATCGCTGTCTGATGAAATATCATCTGCTTCCCCAAACAGATCATTTGCTGCGGGCTTCTTACCTATACACACGCACACAAACAAGAGTTTAACAGAGCTGCTGTGTGTTTGACAGTGTGTTTCATCATAGCAAGCGTCTGTCACTCACCCGATGTTTCAGGGTCAGAATCGGAGTCGAAGTCTGAAGCTATTTTTTTCTTTTTCTTGTGAGTGAATTCCTCCTCGCTGTCACTGCCCTTCATTGACTCTGAAATAAATGACCACAAACACAAGGATTTGTTAGAATAAACATGTTATAGATCTGTTTTTATCCGATATCAACTTTTCAGATGTCGCCTGAGAAGGTAGTTCTTTATTTTTGCCACAAATACACTGGGTTTCATTCACTAATAATTGTGGAGATTATTCATATTTATACGCACAAGAGAACTTCTCATTGAAAAATGTCGCAACACATGTGTACACACATGAAATTCTTCTTAGTTTTGTTCTAAACAGCTCTTTATTGCTTGGCTTTCCCCCATCTTCATCCTCATCTTCGTCATGATCTCGGTCACTCTCGCTGCCAGAGGCGTTGCTGGCAGATCTGGGTCTCTCATGCTCCGAATCAGAGCCAGAACCAGAGCCGGAATCTGGATGAAACACATCAACACATGCATTAATTTACTAACTTATTTTATCATATGCTTTTATCCAAACTGAAAGTATTCTTGAGTTTAACTTTATTATACATGAAACACAGACCATAAAACAGTCCATCAGAAACATTTCAAATGCCAAATAAAGTAGAGCTGCACTATGAGGAATTAATCATAAATTGCACAATTAGTTATTGTGTATTAACTTTAACACTATAAAGCCTACTATCATATCATATCCTATTTATTTTTGATCAGCTTGTGCCTCTGAATCATTTGGGCCTGTTTTTTTTTTTCCCTCCACAAGTATGCTCCATATTCTCCTGTATCATACTATATGTGCCACAAAAGCTAAATGTATTAAATATGATACTCCAAAACATATATCCATACTTAAAAAAACAAATTCTGTCTAAACGTTCAATAAACCGGACTATTATTTCATATCTCAGGCTTTACAGGGCTAATGGGTCAATGCAATAAGGGTGTCTTTGATAAAAAAAAATATTTTCTTTTCCTTACAAACATTATAAATTATATCACTTCATATTTTTTCCTCCATTTGGTTGGACCATATGACTGATTGATTTGCATATGTTTGAAATATTAACTATAAGCAGTGAAGCAAGTTTGTTAAAACTTGCACAGTTGTATAACTATGTCATTACTGATGTCAAAATAAAATCAAATGTATGGAATTTTAAAATAAACAAATTAATGGATTAAGTAAAAGAGACTACTACGTACCTTAATAGAATTTTCATCTAAAAAAGTATTATAAATATTTTATATAAATAGGCGTATTTACAAACACTACTATCTAAATTTTTCAATAAAAGAGATCAAATAATTGTAATTGTGATTAATATAATGTAATATATTAACATACATGATCTGATCATATTAATAAAATGTGATGAAAAAAATGAGCACAGTGCTGAAAGACTGATCGTCTTACAACTGCACATATCGCTAAATGAGAGCTCAGCTCATAGAAACATACCATTAACACATACACGAAACACATTTTCATTTATTAATGCAATAATGCAAATCTAAAGTACCTTGTTGCTCATTGTCGCTATCGCCATCACTACCGAACAGCTCTTCCATGTCCGCCATTCTCACCGCCTGTAAATAATGATCAACATCCGGGTGAAGTAACACTTCATAAAATAAAAGCCCTGGGCTGCGTTCAGCCCCGACAAAACGGTGCAAAACGTTTTTTTAACGGAAACGGTGGTGCGTTGAACATAGTGATGAGAAGTTCGGATCATTTTACCGACTCGGACCTTTGAGTTCATCATTATTATAATTATTATTTACTCTTACAGTTAAGTGATGCGTTTCTGGTCTCAAATTGTAGCTTTTTACTAAATGTGTGAATTTCTGTCATGATGGTTCTTTTCCATAACACTGATTACCTCCGAGACTGTGTTAGGATCTATATGACCTTATTATTTTAATTGTGAGTAGGCTATTAGGCTTATCATTATTGCTGATCACTGTTGTTGTGCTATGTTATTGTAATATTTATCATTATATAATCAGAGGAATATAGAAAAGTTTATGAAAGTGTCACTCCACAATACAATAGCAAAATATATAAATATGTATAGTATTTTTATGTTACATTAATCAGTATTTAGCACACCTTTAAGGAAAGGATATGGACCAGAAGACATTGCAATTACTAAATGATATTTAGACAGACTTAAAGAAGTTCCAGATCTATACTTGTGCTCTTATTGTTTCAGTTATTTTGCCTTTAATGTAAATAAGCATGTGCAAACAATATACTTGCTCTTTTGAATTTATTTGGATGTTAATTACATTGTGCGAGCTGTCTCTTTAATACCGCGTGGTTTATATACATGTTGCTGCTGATTGGGCTGACATTTTTGACACACCCACCAAACAAGAGAAAACGCATCTCAAACCCCGTTGCACACCGTTTCCAGGAAACATGTAGTTCAAACCGGAAACCGTAACAAAACGTTGTGCACCGGTTTGAGCTTGAACTTGCCCCTGGTGATTTTATGATAAAGTAAAAACCCTGGAGATATTTCATTCAGACAAAAGCCTCTTGCACGCAGTGAATCATCAGGTTCATTTGAGATACCAAAGCAGACGAGAGCAGGCGAGGGAGGAGTGAAGTGAATACAGTGGTTTTATATGAAAATAAATAAAAAGAATAAGACACCAAAGTAGGCCTACAGGTCATTTATTTTCCTACCAAAGACGTGTTTTCCATTTTAGTTTAATAAGACACGCATTTTACTTTTTCCCCCTTTGTTTTTAAACTGGGAGTATGAAAGGGCTCAAAAACGAAAAATAAGAACATTCCAATAAATAATAAACATAGTACCTGTTCTCATTTTTTTTCAACTGCACATATCTGTTAACATCTCACCTCTGGATTTTCATTAATTCAACATGATTTTGTTTATTATTCAACTATTCAGCTTTCTTCTATAATGCAAACAAAACAAAAAAAAGTCTTAAACATTTTTTATTAAGGCATACAATCACTTTGTGTGACGAACAGACCGAAACAAAACATTCTCAAATCAAATCATTAATGATCTAATGGGACACCCGAATCAAATCTGGCGAATAGGCATAGTCATGATGTTGGTTAGGCTACAAGATAAAGGAGGTACATGCCATTTATGATTTATACTTAGTTGATAGTACCCGTTCATCAGTGATTTACAACGTTAATGTTGCCTTGTTCATCACATCAAAAATATTATAAAGCTTTAGAAGACTTATAATACAGTGCACAACTTATCAACAAATTTTGTGCAGTTTTGTGATGATTTTCCTTTTGCTGGAGCAGAGATTATTATCCCAAAAAAGTGTGAAGACTTTATTAAAATGTTTCTTTTATGTTCCACAGAGGAAAGAAAGACATTCAGGTTTAGAAGAATGTTAATACCAGAATTATCATTGGATGGACTATTCCTTTAAAGGAAACATCTGTTCATGCAATTACTAACAAAATTTTATCTTATGTGATTGTATTTATACTTGTGCAAGTATACCATGTGACGGAAGTGTACTATGTAGAAGACTTTTGGAACTTTCAGGTGCTTTGTATAGAGACTGTCCTTTAGGTAACTTTGATTTTTTACAGTGGGTATAGAAGAGAATCACCCCCCTTTAAAATAATCACATTTTGTTGCTTTTTAGCTGAAATGAAGATGGACACAGTTTTTGTTTTATCCAACTGTATTTACTCAGTGCAACTTATAACATCCAATTGAAAGATACAACACAAACATGTCAGAAAAAAAAAAAAAAATTGAAAACCAGAATCACTGAGTTGGAAAAAGGATCACCAACTTGTGTCAGTATTTTGTTGAACCACCTTTTGCTTTAATTACAGTCTTTTGGGATATGTCTTTAGTCTGTTGGGATATGTCTCTGCTAACTTTGCACATCTAGACTTTGCAATATTTGCCCACTCTTCTTTGCAGAACTGCTCAAGTTCAGTTAAATTTGATGGTGAGCGTTTGTGGACTGCAGTCTTTAAGTCATTCCACAGATTTTCAATGGGGTTTAAGTCTGGGCTCTGACTAGTGTAAAATAAATTACAGTAAAATTACTAGATTTACTAATATTATCATACTGTAAAACTAAGTTACAGTAAGGATATAGTACAGTAAAATTAAGTTGCGGTAAGGGTATTTTACTGCAAAATGAATTGCGGTAAGGGCATTATGCTGTCAAATGAATTTGCAATAAGCTACTGTAAAGGGGTAGTTACAGTAACTTACTGGCAATAGTGCTGCCAGTAAGTTACCGCAAAAATACAATAAAAAGTCTAACAGTGAGGCCATGCAAGGACATTCACCTTTTTCTCCTTCAACCACTGTGTGGTCAGTTTTGCTGTGGGCTTTGGGTCATTGTCACGTTTGAAGTACCTTCTTCCCACTGACAACTTTCTGGCAGAGGGCAGCAGATTTTCCTCAATAAATTTGACGTATTTTGCCCCATCCATTTTTCCTTCTATCCTGACAAGTGCTCCAGTCCCTGCTGCAGAGAAACACCCCAGAACAGGATATCACCACCATGCTTTACTGTAGGAATGGTGATATTTGGATGGTGAGCTGTAGGATTTCCGCCAGACATATCGTTTGGTGTTGAGGCCAAATAATTAAATTTTAGCCTCATCTGCCTCAGAATCTTCAAAAGAATCTTCGAAGCTCAGTCATAACTGCATGTGATCTTTCTTGAGGAGTGGTTTTCTTCTTGCAACCCTCCCATACAAGCCACAATTGTGGAGAATTTGTGATATTGTTGTCTCATGCACGCAATGACCATTTCGTCATAAATTCCTGCAACTGCTTCAGAGTTGCTGTTGCTCTTGGTCGCCTCTCTGACCAGTTTCCTCCTGGCTCTTTCATTCAGTTTGGAGCGACGTCCTGATCCAGGGAGGGTCTGTGTTGAACCAAATACCTTCCACTTCTTAATAATGGACTTCATGGTGCTTCTAGGCATTGATAAAGCCTTTGAACTTTTTTTTTTTTGTATCCATCTCTTGACTTGTCCACAACTTTATCCCGGAGATCTTTTGACAGTGCCTTGACACCCATAGTTGATTGTTTGCTTCAGTTGCGCTACCAAGGACTGAAATGCTCCAGGAAAGCATTTTTCATGCTTGCTTAATCAGAATGACCACAGCTGATCACAACTGAAATGCTCCAGGAAAGCATTTTTCATGCTGTGCTAATCAGAATGACCACAGCTGATCACAGTTGAAAGTCAAATGGCTTTGTGTGCCATTGAGAAGGTGATTAGCTACTCCTGATTGAGTTTACAAGCCATTTTTAGGAGGGGGGTGATCCTTTTTCCAACTCATTGATTCTGATTTTCTATTTTTTATTTTTCTGACATGTGTTATATCTTTCATTTGGAAGTTGTACTGAGTAAATACAGCTGGATAAAACTGTGTCCGTCTTCATTTCAGGCTACAAAGCAACAAAATATGATTATTTTAAAGGGGTTATTCTTTTCTGTACTCACTGTACATTCAGTACTACTGTGACAGCAGAGGTGCCCGGATACGAGGAGGGCTGTAACTGTGCGGAAGACAGATACATTTGTTATTGAAACTTGGGTTTTCTAAGGAGAGTGAATAATAGGTAAGGGCTGGATATGGAGTAATTTATTTATTTATTTAGTTCGTTAGTAAGTATTGTTTATCCCTGTGTCTGACATCATTTCCTCACACATTCAAAGTACCTGGAACTGATATTCTCTGATGAATGCAGTTCTTTAAATGAAGCAACAGTCTTTGCTGAGTCTATATACAGTGTAGAGAGTTTCTCTTTAAAAATGCTTTGAAACATCTCATCCCTCCCTCTGGGTATTTTATTTCTGGTGAATGTGACGCTTCATTCAGCTGTGTGTGCACTGATCTGACCAGTTTCACTACAGGTCTCCACAAGTATCCTGTTGCTTTCTGATCTTTAAGGAATGATTTTGGTGTTTCAATGGAAATTAGTACTCACTAAAATACTAAAAAAAGAATAGCCTATCTGAAAGTGAGCACACCTGAGAAATTTTAATTTAATAACAATATACTTTCGAATTGTTCCCTTATTATTTACTAATTGACAAAAACACAGAACAATTAAGAAAATGCAATAATTAAAATAAACCAATGAATATAAAACAATCAGATACTTAATAATCAATGAATAATTCAATTTAAAAAAATGACACAATCGCGCGAAAAACAAAGACGCCGCCTGTAGACTTCATATCCCATGCTTCTTTGTACCACTAAAACTCCACATTCTCTGATTGGTTGCTTGTTTCCAGTAGGCGGGAACTGTGTGTTATAGGCGTGTCCTTACATTCTGATTGGCTGTTCTGGATGTCAATCATCAGGGCATTTCTAGTGTCTGGTTTCCTGTGTTACCGCCCTTGGACTGAGACAGTGAAGACGGGTGTGGGATTTTTTTTTGCTTTCCGACCAGGAATAGGTCAATAAAGGGTAAAACGCTTGCAGGAATTTCACTAAGGTAAGACATATATTTCGTCCTCTGTCAGTGTGAGGTTAATATTAAGATAGAGGTCATAAATGTAGAGGTTTGTGTAGTTCAGGGTTAGCTGGCTAAGCGCTCGAGCGCTGATATCCGTATGAGCGTGAGCAGATGGGCCAACAGTTTACGATATTACAATTATCAAAAAAATATCAAATTATCTCATAATTATTGCACACTGAGCCTATTATATATACTCATTTATATATTAAACCAGATACATGATTAAAACTAATTAACACATGTTTCACTGATTTTTATCAAGGTGAGTCCATATGTGATATGGACGTTCATCATATTTAGTAAATCATGCATGTAACGTTACTGTCAAAACTACGTAGACGCTGGATTCAGTCATAGCTGAATTACAGTATAGTTGGACTAAATCTCACAATGCGTTTTAATGCATTATTTATGACTTACTGGATTAGACATTTTGATCGTTATCAAAAATGCGCTGTGTGTCAATTAAGTTTTATATTATTGGCCGTCTGTATGATTGTGATGATTTTGTTGTACATATTTTTCTTTTTTACATTTGTACATTATTTAGTTGAATGCAAATTCTGCATGGAGATCCGTTTAGAAGCATTGCAGACGCCAAGTTACCCTTTATTAGAACATGCGCGCTGATGCTAATGCAAACCTCGCGCAGGTCAGTTGTATGTTTAAAGTCAGTTGTAATAATCATAGCTGTTATGATTATTATGCTGTCTCGCGCACAACGGGCGTAGCTGTGAGTGTGAGTTCTCGTTATAACGGGTGTGGTCTCCACCCGGGGCGTGACTCTGCGTGGCTTTACATAACTGACACATGGGATTTAATGCACAATATAGTATAACGCAATATAGAGCAGTGTTCATAAAGGCATTGTGTGTTAGAGAATGAAAACTGTTCCCAAACGAGCATGTTCTGTATTCAGAGATGATGATGGATGGTTTATAGAGCATCTATCTATCTATCTATCTATCTATCTAGTACAGACCGGTACAGAAATTAAGCTCAATTCAGTTTTATTTCTGTAGCTCTTTTCACAATGCACAACTGAGGTCAAATTTTAAAATAGATGAGATCAGACATGATATGTAGCACTGCAACAGTGTGAAGGATCGGTGTTCTCCCTAGTTTGTCTAGAACACCACCTGAAGGTTGGAAATTAGTTTGTAATGAGTTTTTCCCTTCCTGAAATGGCACTTTAAAGAGCACTTGTCTCAAGTAATGGTTGCTAGACCTCTTGCATAATAAACATTTCAAAACCCACCCTCCATCTGGGTTCCATAAGCCACGGTCTCTGTCGCTGAGGAAGTGATGGATGAGAAAGAACTGAAGAAAGGATTCTCATTGTTGTCACTCCAGCTAATTTTAGCTTCTTTTTTTTCCTCCCATTTCTAGATTAATGAAGCAGATCTCCTCACATTTCCTCTTTTTAATTTAATTTGAGTTGTTCACACTGAACCAATACTGATAACAGTGAGTCAGTTATATACACTACCTTACAAAAGATGTATGAATGTATAGTTTAAAGGGGTCATATGATGTGATTTCAATTTTTCCTTTCTCTTTGGAGTGTTACAAGCTCTTGGTGCATAAAGATCTGTAAAGTTGCAAAGACTAAAGTCTCATATCCAAAGAGATATTCTTTATAAATAAAAAGAGTCAACCACGCCTACCTAAAACGCCTCGTTCTAACACGCCCCCACATATCTACATCACTATGTGGGAAGATTTGCATAACGCCGCCCAAATGTTCACGCAAAGAAAGAAGGCGTAACTTTTATTCTCGCTGTAGTATTGTTG